AAAAGGTTGTGACTTAAGGCAATATCGAGGCAATCCACACAGGATGCATATATGTCAACAAGAGACTGATCAATTGCAGTCTTAAACAACAATGGAAAGATACAAGCAAACACTACCAAGTGAAATAATAACAATATTTCCCATATAATTATCGCCTTTTTAACTGCATTTCATTCTTAAAACTTATTTGAACATGTATCATGTGCTTTTTTGTTAAATTTTACTGTGATAGGTTGCATTTTTTAGAGGTTGAATCAATTCGCTTATATATTGAATCCGATGTTTCCATTTGACAGTAAATAAGATAAGCGACGTCAACATTCTTAGTGAACAACTCGCGGGGTGCGGGACCGTGGATGCGCACTGCTGAGGAGTCCCATACTAGGATGAAACGGCCGTCCAGTGCTTCCAGGTTTTCCATGGTGACCTAGCTTCAATTGACTCATGATTTCAATCAGTGAAATTTCTAAATTCTCCACAAAACCCCTTCTGAGAACAGTATATTAACCAAAAAAATCCAAGTTCGCCGTTTTTATAAAAAATGTAATACAGTATTTTAAACTTTACTTGGTATTGTTTGCTTGAATCTTCCCATTGATTTTTAGGACTGCAATTAATCAGTCTCTTATTGGCATATATGCATACTGTGCGTATTGCCTTAAGTTACAAGCATTATAAGAAAAGATAGTACTGGGTTCGAATCTCGGAGTGAATATCAACTCTGGGATGCAGGTACATCCAGATAACGAGTATCAAATAGGACGAAACGCGCGCCCTGGATTGTACTTCTAGCCACTATCGATCTTTGTTTATAACATTTTAAGTATTTGAGTGAAGACGTTTCATACACTTGTGTACCATTGAAAACCAGAAAACAATGAATGGCTTCTTCATCCTAGTATTATGTTTCTTTATAGAGTATACGCACGACTCCATCGGGATGAAACTCATGACTTTTAGGTCCTGCAACAAGTAAGGTAACTTTAGACCACTACTAAGTCGGAATCCAAAGATTCTACTATTTTGCAAGACAATCTTCTGATGCTATTGATTAGTAATAATCTCGTAAAACTCCACTGGTCACCCGGTGGGAACATACATGCTCTCTGTTAAATTGTCTAGTCCCCCCCTCCTCAATTATAAATAATATATTATAATCTCAAGAAAGAAACGTACTATTTGGTAAAAATAATATCAGTCAAAATTGTTTGAAGTGAATAATCAGGTGAACCGGAATTTCAATTTTTACAAAGAAAAAAAAGCCTTTTTTCACTATATAAGGTCAAAACTAATGAATACTATGTATGTTTGGTAAAAACAGGTAACTGTTAAAATGGCTAAAATTCACTGAGGAGCCTGAAATGGCAACTTCTGTAACGTCAATTGAAAACTTATCAGAAAAGAAAACCATTAATCATCTGAAAGAATATACACATCAAAAGAAATTATGTCAATTATTTATGAGCATAATGTATAAGCAACTTAGATTGCTTGATTGCAAAGCTTTCATAGTTGTTCCAGATAACATAGTTGTGACGGAGATAATCCTGGTAATGTTGTAACTTCTGAAAATGTTTACGGAATTTAATCAGAGATGGCTGGCAGTAAAACCTAGGACGCGCGTTTTGTCCTATTTTGGACTTATCAGTTGAATGCACCCGCTTATAATGCTTGGTAATATCGAGAGTATCTGCACAGAATGCACATATGCCATTAAAAGAGACTGGTAAATTGCAGCCCTCAACTTTGATGATAAGATTCAAACAACAACAAGAAATTAATTATTTTGTGGATAATCATTGTTGATATCTTTATTGTACCATTAAATAACTAGTTTGCTGTAATCACTATACTTACTGCATTGTAAGCTTCCGTTATTAATTATGTACTGTTTTCTCCGTTCTGTCACATATGGCTTGATTGTATGTTAAAGATAACTTTTTATTTTCGATGCCTTATGATCTGATAATCCATGTCCCCGTGTGATGCGTGCTACTTATATTGATATAAGTAATATATGATCGAGTCAGAAGATGGGGAAGATCAAGAAAGGAAGAGCGGGAATAGAAAGCAATTAGTATGGAAATGCAAGAACAATGAAGTTCGAGACAATTATTGAACATTTTGCGAATTAAGTATTATAGTATGGTTTTTCTATTTTACCAAGTAACTCTGTAATTTTGTGCTAAATATAATTCGACTGTCCCCACCCGTGTTCTGTTTACTACACCCGAACTAATGAGTGTTCAAGACAAACAAAAAGGACTGGGTACCTGAAATACAGAAAATAGAAGTTTGCTTACAATATCCTTTTATTCAGCTTACCACTGGGGATAAAATGCATACACTCTGGACGACCAGTAAGAGTGAATATTGTCTGTGCTTCAAGTGAACAATAATCCTACTGATCAAAACACTATAAGCAAAATAGTACATATGAAATAAAGAAACGCAACCTGAGCTTTATTTGGGAAACTTCCCCTAGATATCGATTAACATCTCGTTCATAACTAACATGAATACTGACTAGTGCAAGCATCTCTACATGGGAATACAACACAACCTAAAACATCTACATAAGATATTGAATTCTTGATCATTTCAGTGTATTCAACCAATTAGGTATGACTTGCCAAATATTAAATAATTAATCAATGACGGAACTAACAGTTATAATGACATTTCACATGTACCTAATGTGACAGTATTGTATGTGATCCAATGTTCTTTTACAGAAAAACGCATAGTTCTGCAGACTCATTATGAGACATCGAGGTCCTGGGTTATATCGATGGAAGGGAAGCGGATACTCACAGTTGAGGAGCTCCATACTAAAATGAGACAGATGTCCACTAACTTCTAGTATTCAACGGTTATCTAAGTTCTGTTCGTAATGTAAAACTACTTGAATGTAGTCAGGTTATCGTTGTCACACAATGTCTCACCACTAAAAGCATGTCTCATAGCCAAATACAGTGACTGAGTTACATAAAATCCTCTCACCATGAAATAAACACATGTATCGTAAATAGCTTAAGATATAGATTATCAATATAGTAATTGACATGAACGATTATAATCTCAAAAGAAATTTGATATTACAGATGATTTAAAATATTCCCCCCCCCTCGTAAGTATACTACGATAATATGACGAGTCACGTTATATTGGATCCATGATTCATAATTCAGAACAGAGAACCACATTATTGACTAGACAATACTCTATTCCACACAATTACAAGCAGTCAGTCCGGAGTAGAAATCAATAGGAGGTGAGGGAACCACATCATTAATACTTAGTAGGCTAAGTGTCTCTTTGTCCATGCTCAATCATATTTTACTTTCACTACCACATATCAAAATTATATTAATCCATAGATCCATTGAAGACAACGCCCATTGATTCATAATGAGAAATAAGGAAATAATTTCACAAATTCAACATTTGTATATATTCATAATTAAAGTTAGCCAACGTATCAACAACAACCAAACTAGTCTACACTAAATCCATGAAAAAGATCAGTCATAAACAGTTCGTCTGTATTGGTTATTAAAATCCTTCCATTGAAGTTTAGAACTGCAATTGATCAGTCTTTTTCGTCATATGTGAGGATTACTATTATGTTACAAGCACTTCTAAGAAATTCATGAACCGCGTTCCATCCTATTTGGGGCTCGTCGGCCAACCGTAACCGCATCCCAGAGTAAACATCCACTCTGGAATGATGAAACGCGAGTCCAAAATTCTACTGTCACCCACTATTCATCTCTTCTTACAGTGATAAACAATATTATTCGACAAGAAGGAATCCGACTCTTACATATAGCAGAAGTCATAGGAATACACATAAGAAAATCTAACCTTCCCATACAGAAAAAGTATATACAACCTTTGGATCTATCCTGGTCTTCTACTTAGATACTATTACATGACTAAGACTTCTCTTCTCTTAAAATCTTCCGAACCTCGACTTCGTTAACATTTTAAGTACTAATTCTAATCTTACATAACCTGTCTATTAATTATGCTATCTAATTTTCATTGCACCAATCCTACTAATTACTAATCTTCAATTTGACAGATAACAAAAAAAAAGTATTTACATCCAAATTTAATTATGCAACTATTTGTAATAGTGAACTGATTATCATCTAATTGGTATCAACTTTCTACTGACTTATAAAACATATATGTTTTAGGGGAAATCACCAAACTGCAGCATAAAGCAAACTGTAACTTAAAATTCTAAAAAGAAACGGGAAAGAGGAAGACCAAAGAACCAATTGCATCGAGAATTGGAAATAGGCATGGAAAGAACAAATAACAACTGGGGAAGGATTATCCAGGATAGAATTCGATAGAGAATGCTAGTGGGCTGCTCTCAACGCTCCTCCACAAAGGGATAACAGGCATACGTAAATAAGAGCCTTGATAAAGAACTAATTGAAAAGAAATATTTCTTGGTTTAAAACTTATCTTTTTAATGTTTCAGTGGGAATACTTAACAATCTGAAAACTTAAAAAATTTCGAATAAAACGCGAGATCAGATTAATTACAATGATAATAGTAATAATATTAAATACAATAATAATATCAATGAAAGTAAGCATAGAAATGATTAAATGGTCATTGAGAATGATTGAAATAATAAAAAAAGTGATATAAAAACAAGTTTTGTTTGTAAAGTACATTAACACTAAGTTTTGTAGATCATTCCTATCACTAAGGATATTTGGGGGCATCACTACTACTAAAGACAAAGGGGAGAATGTACATTAATGAAATGGGGTGGAGTACAGACAAATAAAACAACAAAAAAAAATAAAACCGGTTAAATGAGAATACAATTGAAATGTATCGTCATCATCATCATTATCATTTCTATAGTCAGTATAGTTTATATAAATTAGGAAAGGATATAATTAAAAGATCAAAAAATAATACAGATATTTCATTGTATATTTGCACATATAAAAACTGTGTATATATCTTATTGAAAATAATTATGAATCAATCATTAAGTAATCATTGTAATTATCCTTATTGTTATTATTATCTAATTAATAGATGAGTAATTATTCCATGATTTTGTACGAACAATCGATGTTTTCTGTAATAAATGTTCATGTTCTTGATCAATTGTTGATGGACAATTAGAATGACTGAATATACCACTGAATCTATGATTATGACCATCACCATTATTATTATTATCATCATCATCATCATTATCACCATCATCATCATAATCATCATAATCACTAGAATCAAAAGTATCTGTATGATCAAGTGAATATGGTTCAGAGAATTCACTTCTATCTGGTATATCCTCTTCTCTAATTATTATTGAATCTGTAGAATTTGGACAACATGGTAATAAAGTTATATCTAATACACGATTATGAATTAATGTGCCAATAATGAGTAGTGCAAAACCGTCGACTAAAATAAAAATTGTGGAAAAATATAAACATAAATATATATAAAACATTTAAATGCATATATGGAAATCAGTCAGTCAGTCAGTCAGCTACAACGAAGGACAAGGCACATATATGCATCGGTCCAAGTTGCCATACCTCATTAGCACAACAAGATGAACATCAGATTCATAGGAGTAGTTAAGCCAATGGTGGTAATATATAGAAGAAAGATTCCATATAAGGATATAGTACAGGAAAAAAGAATTAGTTAATAGAAAGAAAGATATAAAGTAATTTTAATCTCACGGTTTAACGGAAGACAAAGAGTGTATACACCATCGCCGTTGTGATCGATTCTGAGCCATGTCACTTAGAGTCTCCAACCACTGGTTACGATAGTCACGCGGACCCCGACCAAGTAGTCTGCATCTACCAACATGGCTCATACCAGAAGTTAGTGTCTTCAAGCACTGATGCCACGTTTTGCTTTGGCCGCCCCTAACTGAGTAGCAATTGAAAAGGATTTCCAAGGACGGAGTTCGATGGAGAATACTGGTAGGCAGTCTACGCTCCTCTACAAGGGGTAACAGGCGCAAATAAGTTGGAAATGATAATTCATCATGGGTAGGTTGGTTTATTGATTATTGAATTTTGTATACCTTTCATTATTGCGTAGATACTTTATAATTACCGAAATAGAGATGGAGGATGTTGAATGTCGTGATTTTTTCTGTGTTCACTTCAAAGCTTTCTAATCTTTTATTCAAAAAAACTCTGGGAGAATATAAGGTCAATGAAAATACTTATCCACTACGTGTTAACATTTTATTTCTCTATTATACATATACAGGATTCTCCAAAATCTCATGCATTTTAAACATTCTTCAATGGTATACCTTTTGAAATTACTCATTAGGAAATACATAAATATTGAATCAAAACTCAGAAGTCCTTATCTCGAACCTGATTGTTTTGAAAGTATGCTAAATTTTCGTGAAGAAAACTATTCTCAGTGCAGTTGTAGTATATTTTTCTCCAGTTGCTTATATGTTTACCTTTATTGAATCGCAGTTTTTTAAAACTGAAAATCAACTTGTTTATAGCAAAAACGACAAGATATTTTGACTTCATAACAGTTACGCAATGTTTCCAATTCAATACAAGGTTGATGAATGTTATAGAAAGAATAATTTATCTATTAATTGGTACTATATACTATGGTTAGTATACAAGCAAAGAAGGAAAATCCAGGTATCACTAACTTTCAATAAGACCCCATCCAATATTGAATGGTTCTCCATATGGCGGACCGATTCCATAGTATAAAATTAAACTGCAAATCCATACCAGTGCAGTACGTAAAGAATCTATCAATGTTCGGTGAATAGCTAAAATATTGATGAAAATTCATGAGTAAATATAATGATTTAGTATTAAAAAGTATCGTGCAGGGCAGATGGGGGTGAGCTATCAACTTCCACCCTAATCAGATTCCATATGATTTCGTTTGGTATGACAATTATATTCCCTGTATCAATACAGGTGAAGTATATTCGGCGTGTTTTTCTAGCCAATCAGAAACGAGTGGGTGGTTTCAAGGTCATAGTACCTATTTCAATACACTAAGTTCACGTACGTCCAATTTACAGAGGATTTCAACGAGGATGTTATAGTTGAGCGGCTGAAATAGATGGAGTTACTTGTCAGTTTCTTTATTTGTCATTGCAATGTCCAAATAACTGCTGGACATTGTGCAGACTATTGTGACAATGTTTTATTTGGATGTAATGTATGTTGGAGGTAAAAGCTTGCTAGAATTAGTACTTTTCTCTCTCAATCTCAATCGACACTAAAACATTATGATGATTGTTACAAACTGGATAATAAAAGCACTAGTAACACTGGCTGCAACGTTTGCAGATGTTACTGAAGTCTCAGCAGTCCAATGGTACGAGATATGTGCAATGAAAATGACAAGCTTGCATCAGTCGTTTGAAGGAATCGAGAGAATCGTAGAAATCGACAAAACGGTTGTTATAAAACTCAAATTCAATAGATAAAGAAGTGTTCAAGAAGACTGGGTAAGTAGCATTTCCTTAAATACACTTAGCATGTCCTTGGTATATTATAGATCGTCTCAAAACGAACACTTCCAGCGCGTGAGAAAACAATAAGTTAAAACTATTATACCAATTATACAAGAGTATGAGAAACAAGATACCACAATACACACAAATGACTAGAGAGCATATAGATGCCTATCTAACCTTGGTCACGTGCATCGTATCATCGTTCGCAAGCGATATTTTCTAGACTCCATCACAGAAGTTCACACCACTAATATAGAAACGATATGGTCGAGGTCAAAGAATGTTTGCGACCTTATCATGGCTCCGGAGGTCGACTGTTATGGAGTCACATAGGTGAGTTCCTGTACAGTATCCAATACGATTTCAGAACTGCAGAACCTCTTTGTAACCTTGAAAAATATTTAAACCACGTTAAAGGAGTGTATCCAATGTAATTTCTCGGTTTCGTATAATATATTCTTACATTATACCTACTGTTTTCTGATTGACTGAAATTTCTCAAAGTCACTCAGGAATCGTTCAAAGGTCGTCCATAAATTACAATCTTGTTAATTAAATCTGATTAAACACTTAAACAATATTTTAAACTTTGTTTTCTGATCAAATGCACATATAAAACTTACAACTAAGACTTCGAGCAATTGATAGACCACAGTAGTTAAATATTGCAATGGAAAAGACATAAATAATACAATTGCCTAGTAGAATATAGTTATTTCCAATTTGATAAATTGCATCAATAACATTTTCATATGAACCATTTAAATCATTTCCAGGAATAAAATGAACAGCTGGTAGTACAATCTAAGTAATACACAAATGATACAATTAAATATCTCAAAATGTATATAGATATTAATAATGGTTATGTTTACGCAATCGTTAATAAGTTGTAACATCTGAAATTAAAAAATCTGACGTGGAAAAAAGTTGCAATTCTGTATAACTAACTTAATTGGCTTAAACTATCAATCATTCACTAATCCGAAAGGGAGTGGGTTCGAATCCCACCTCCATCACAACCTTTGCCCACAAGTACCCTGGTACGACCGAGAGTGGGGAAAGTCAACTCTCCCCCTCCAAATACTCTCACATAACCACGTACATAAAACCTCTGCCAGGGAAGTCCTACTCACTGCCTTCTCGCGGTATTAATTTTGTTTACGAAATTCAGAGGATGAAAAGCGAAACTCCGGCGCTTTAACCGGGTCGGAAGACACGGAGAGTCTACCTAGAGGAGATGGGGAACCCTGATTCCAAACCAATGGTAACATGAACTCTAGGATCCTAAAGAAACAAATTTGTGGTGTGAGCTACTTATATTGATATAAGTAGTATATAACGTGCGTTAAAAGAACGTAATGTCCGGCAGCAGAAGATGGCGAAGATCGAGAAAGGAAGAGCAAGAGCACAATGGAATTGTAAGAAAACGCATGTACAATGGAATGGGCGACAATGGATTAGTGTTTGCAACGGGAACAGTACAGTTTGATATGATGGAATGATATTTTGCAAATTGACGATTGACTTTATGGTATTCACATTTTATTGAGATAGTCTGTAATCTTTGTGCTAAATACAATCGATTGTCCCCACCCGTGTTCCTGTTCACTACAACGTATGAACCAATCGTTGTTCACCGGCTACCATGGGACTCCATCTCCTAACGATGCTCCACTGCCTTGTGGATCAGACCTTTAGGTCGAAGGCTCGGGGTGCGGTCCCCTAAGAAAACCACCTACTTCAGTTTGGGCACCCGGGCAGTATTCTAGCCCCCATATGTATTTGGTGCCTCTTGTACCAATGTGTTCAAATAAATAAATAAATAATAATAAAAGAAACAAAGGCTATTATTTATATATTACATATTATTAACTTATTTGCCAGATAGATTGGTTGGTGTAACTAACTTGGAACCACACTCGATGTATAAGGACTAGTGATATTCTCCCCGGTTGCATACACCGAAGTAGGTGGAGCGGGGTTTGAACCTGACATCTAGTGACTGGATATCAAATTCCTTAACCTTTGAGCAACTACTCCATAACATTTTAAAACGATTTCTTTATAAAAATTTAAAGAAATAATATGATTTGGTGTAGGATTCCGATTTCTGAGAATAAATAATGATATATATGGATGATACTTTAGTCATTTTTTGGCAAGAATGTTAACTTAATTAAAATTCCATATTCTTCTAATATTTCCTATCGTTACCTAAATTTGCCCCCAAATGCCCTGGTACGGCCGAGAGTGGGGAGAGTCCGCTCTCCCTCTCGAAATGCTCTCACATGGCCATGCGTATATAGCCTCTGCCAGGGAAGTCCTACTCACTGCCTCCTCGTGGCGGGGGTGTTGTTTACAAAAATGAGAGGACGAAAAGCGAATTTCCGGCGCTTTAACCGGATTCCAAACCAAATCAATGGTGCACATGGGCTCCAGTATCCTGCGGGAACAAATGGCGTATGAACCAATTGTTGGTCACCGGCTACCATGGGACTGCATCTCTTAACGATGCTCCACTGCCTTGTGGATCAGATCTTCAGGTCGAAGGCTCGGGGAGTGGCCCCTAAGAAAACCACCTGCTTCGGTTTGGGCACCCGGGCAGTATCACAGCCCTCACACATATCGAATGAGATTTGTGTGGCGCATATGTATTTGGTGCCTCCTTGTACCAATATCTATGTGTTAAAATAAATAAATAAATAAACCTAAATTTCACATTAGTAAACGAAATAGGTTATCCTATCTGGTTTTTCGAAGTGTTTCTAACAAGGAGTGATGGATTCATGAAAACGATAATTTATAGAAAGCAAACACTGAATAGTCGGTTAACCAATTTCTATTACTGAGTTCTATTAAACGGACACAGAAATCTTATTGATTCTTTATGTTATTGAATACGTAGAATATGTAGTGCTGTATCAGCTGAGAAAGAAATTGATTTCCCGGAAAACGACTATTCAAGCGGATTCGTCAAGAAAAATCGGAGCAAAGACTCGAGAAATTCCGTTATACATAAATAGCTTTACATAAATCTAACAATGAAAGATAGCTTAACTTTTGATCACCTTCAGAGTCGGTTGTTTACAGCAATTGAAACGTTCTGTAAAGCAAAACTCTGACTACCACTCACAGGCAAGAATATTTTTTCTGTATCAAAAAAGGCTACGCATGTGTCCGATCGCTAGATAGGCTGTAGCGAGTGTTTGCCTTAAACACAGGTAGCGAAACATATTCCGGTACCGTTATAAAAAGATAGGAGAATAATTAGGAGTTTTATCCTTGAAAGTTTAGTCAACTCTAATCGCTCAACTAACTCAAGAGTTGATTTTAAGGTCATTTACAGAAATTGTCAAGATCTACAAAAAAACTACTCTTACAAAACTTATAAAAACACCAAAAGCCCTAACGAAACATGAAATAAAGCCTAAACTTAAAATCCAAAAACCATGCGTCTTATACTTGAACTCTCATTAATTCATTTAAACACCAAAATATTGGTAAAACGGGACACTAAAATATATAGCTGACATACAATAAAGATTAAAATGTGAAGAGATACAAAGAAAAGAAGGCAAGTATGAAAAAACAAAAAAGCGAATAAAAATTATTGAGTGACGGTGAAAAACAAAAATAATAATGGAAGAATCCTTTCAGTTAAAGAAGTTTCTCACACTCATATGAAGAAGTAAAAGAAAACCACAAGACGAACGCCACTGGCTTCCATTCCGAGCCACATATGATGACGCTTCAAGCCACTGTATTGCACTTTCTCTAGGACCTCAACCAGAGAGTTGTGAATAATCGACAGACTCCAATACTGTACAACGTTCCTTCACAACCCAGCACACTGTTACCAACTGAACTGTAGTTACGGTGCCCGAATACACATAGCCAAACCTCTGCATTACCAACATGGCATTGTCATTGAATTTCACCAACCTCATGTTGACAACGATGATCAAACATACAGAGTAACTTAACACTCAACTCGGACAGGTCGGGTTTCACAAGCATAGAGAATAACTGTTCTTATCGACAACTTGTATATCCGACCTTTTACAGCCAGACTAACATCACGAATGCACCAAAGATGGCCCAGATTGGCATAAACCGCTCTCTCTTTCACTATACACGAATTGGTCTCGTCACTCACATAACTACTCAAATACACAGAAGTCTCCAATACTTCGAACTGCTCACTACCAAAAGTGAGTACAAGCACACGCTACTGTCAGTTTTGTAAGAGTACTTCACACTCAAAAGGAATAAAGCACATGCCATACCTACAGACACTGATTGTCAAATGATTAAGTGCGGATTGTACGGATCGGGTATCATCACGCAGTAAGAAAATATCATCCACATGCTCACTGTCGCAAAGTCTTTCTTCACTTAGCAGATCCACACCACCACTACTTACTTCCATCTGAGATGTTTCCAGAACGTCACCAATGGCAAAGTTGAGGAGGAATGGTGAGATCGGACAACCCTACTTAACCCCACTGCTTAAATGGAACGGTCGAAAGACGTGGTTGTATTCTTTCACTCAATATATATCAAGTGTTTGCACACAGACTCTTCAATACGTTGACAAACTTCTCAGGCACACTCTTCCTCAACAGTCTCAGAGGACAGTCCTGTCCAACGAGTCTAAGGCCACCCTGATATCAAGAAACACAACCACTCTTGGCATGCAACAAGTATCGCGTTGTTCTAACATTTGGTGAAGGGTTGAGATATCAGCAATACATCGTCGATCGGAACGAAAACCAGTCTACTCTTCGCACGTCAATCTTCCACAGGTTTGAAAAATTTTCGAAGTATGACGGAAGTCAATAATTTGGACGTAACGAGAAGTAAATTTATCTCTCGACAGTTGTTAGATAGGTGACGTGAACCTTTTATAAAAACACTGAGGACTATCATATCTTTCCAGGATGTTGGAACATTCTAATTGCCAAGGGTTTGCACTTAACTCACTTAGTTCACTGTCGAGGAGTTTGACACCTTAAAACTGCCCGGAGGTAATTCATCAGATCCGGTGCATTATAGAGCTTCAGGATTTGGAGTTTCTTCCACATGGTTAGGTGGATTAGTCTTCACTGACCATGAACAGGAAAGTTTGATTGATAACCCTGGGCCCTGGAACTACTGGTATTTTTACTATTTCAATTTCATTTTATCGAATTTGTATTTTAAAATGTCCCTCTCCTTTTGTTTTTTTCATACTCCCATGATTGTATTCATAAGTATTTCTGATGTCACATTATTTCATTTCTTTGATATCTTTAACTATCTTGACAAAAAGCACACTAATTATCCTACTCCATTCACATTATAATTGATAGTTACTTTATTAATTTCACACACTAATTTGCACACATATCGTAGGAGTTACATGACCTTTTACTATTCTATCATATATAGTAATGGCTTCCTTCACTACTATGTTTAGTACGATATAAAATTTTCATGTTATTGCTTACGATATATAAACTGGTATTACAATCTTTCAATTACATCATCACGTTTATTTAATTATATTCGTCACGGTGTTATACAGGATATATATATATATATATATATATATATATATATATATATATATATATATATATATATATATATATATATATATATATATATATATATATATATATATAACATTAGAGTCAAACATATGAGAATTAACAATCTGAAACAAGCAGAAATCAACTTACACCAGACATTAAAATGCACCCAAAAATCCCTTCCATACCAACAGCTTGTAAAGGATGGAAGCCACGTTTTTTCAGAAAAACCTCTTCTATTACCATTTGTGTAGCAGAAGTGAACGCACCGGCTAATACTAGTATCAATCCTATTTTTTAAATAAAAAAGAAATCGGTTGTATAGAGAATAATTTTCCAATACTTGTATATATTGTAATAAAAAGATAACAACATAAATCCTACAAATTGGTCGTTTTCAAGTTAATTAAAACTCCATATTCACAATCAGAACTTAAACTCAATGGATGTGATATCGATACCATCTCTGAGACCCTACAAAAGATAAGATTTATATGACAACTGAACAAGACAATTATGACTTCTAAATATTCGTATAAACAAACTTACAGAAATCAGTAGTTATTTTATGGTGTTATGAATATCCCATTGAACGACTTTTTTCGACAGTAAAAAAAGAATAATTCATACATAACACAAAGATTTCATTTGTCAATTAGTCAATGGCCTCTACTTCACTATACATGGAAGAAGTTGTACTGTACAGGAATTTGACAGTATTAAGTCATTTCCCTCAAATAACCAACATACGAAAGGAAGAGGTTAAAAAAGGTCAACCCTATAAATGTTAAACCTCACTTTAATTTACGGTTTCCGGCTTGGGCAATAAGTCCCTCTGGTGTACAAAACTGACACATTAAAATCTGATTACAAAAAATGTCGTACGTGACTGGCTTTAGGCAGTTGTTCCTTGGGCTCTGTAGCCATCCTCATAGGTCTCTAAGACCAATACCAATTAAGTTTTCTTTACATGTCTCTCAAAAAAAGTAATTATCCATGATGTAGGAAACTGGCAAGTGACGATGATCCTTATACCTCTAACGGCACCCGAGGTCCTCTTGTTCACTTTCGAATTCCTCTGTCACCCCAATATTTCTCCTGTCCTGACGAATTAACCTTCCTATTGACCTTATTGCAATGCATCACTAAAGCTAACTATCCGAGTTCACGGAATTTTATTCCTAGTCTCCTACAGCCACCCTCTAAACTACATGTTGAACTTTTCAATGTTCGAACCAAATATGGCACCAGACTTCCTTAGCTAGGACTTTAGAATCGTATCCTATCAGTGTATGACATCTTGGAAACAAGCATAAAAAGTCCAAGAACAGTTATTCTCTAGACCTCACATAGTCAATACAGAAAATCAGAGATTCACTCTCTGTATATTTAGGGACTTGGCTGCTATTTCTCGTGACCTAGCTAGTGTAGACATAGGACTATGTTGAGAACCAGAACAAACTCTCCAGGTATCGGGGATGTTAACTCCTCAAATAAATATAGGAGGGAATCAACTTTTAAATTCATACATTCATTAACTTCCAGTGATGACTGTTCAGTTGATAATGATTAAATTAAAGTGGATGTAAACTGATTATTATTTGGTTCTTTTCAATGAATCTTTCTGAACAAGGTATGTCTTTTTGAGTACCTAGAGGCAGATAATAGTAAATCTATTGTATGCGGTATCGAAGTTGTTAGAGTTAGCATTGTTATCCCGAAATCCGCAACACATGAACTATATTCCGACGGATAGTTGTTTGTGTGCCATCTGACTGAACGGAGTAATAAGAATAAGAAAAAAGAGATACACACCGTTTTCTTTGTCTATGCTCCCAATGACTTTTGTTCAGATAAAAAGCTGAATTTTGTAGAAAGCTTTCCACCCTCTTTCAAAAAGCTAAATGCTTAGATGCACTAATAACACCAGGTGAGTTTAACGTCCAAGTAGGTAGTTTAAACCAAATTGATAGACCCTTGATTGAATTTTACACAGAGCAGATAACGGCAGCTGGTTGCTCAAACAACGATCAAACAACCGTTTATCTCTAACAAGTAACAACTTTAAGCATATGAAAAGACATTGTCTAACATGGTGACCCCATAAAATCGATCCACCGAAGAACCTAAATAAACCACATTGTTATCAGGTATTGTTGGGTAGGCTTAACAGAAAAACTGCCGGTAATTCTAGAGGAAATTTTTAGACTGTGACCATGATCAACTGTGAGCACGTGTTTATTTGTATCTTAGTAGACAAAGAAAATCTACAACAAGAAGACTCATTAAAGTTCAGCTTAACGACTAAAGAGTCAACAATATACTTCAGGAACAACGAGAGAAGCAGTTATTCAACCATAAAAGTGATATAGACTCCGAAGTAGCTTGGAATGATGTTCAAACAGCAGTGAGATTTACCAGTAACTTGAACCAAATTGTTAAGAAACATTACTGGATATCTATAGAGATTCTCTGAACTGATAACAGCTTGGAAATTCATCTCGTCAGGCTCCGAACGCGACTAAGAGTAAATGCAGCTTGAATGCAGTGAGGAAAAGTAGTGAGCCTGAGTAGTAGTGGACAGCTTAAGTAAAAGAAATGGAAAACGTATATGTAATGGGAAACAGTAGACAACCGTTCAAACCTAAAAAAGAAACAGTTGTTAGAAATCCCGCTATTAGTGAAATTATCCAGGAAAAGAAGAAACTGATATTCACACTCAGTCTGGGAAGTTAGAATGATGGGGATAACACTTAAGGGAACAGTTTAAGTGGCCTCCAAATATCCTCAATTTATCCAGTATCTCCAAACAATCTGTAAACCTAGATTGATAAAATTGAGTTAACCAACAGTGTTTGAGTTAAACGCTCACCACTTAGGACTCATTTAATCTCAAACTGATTATTATCATTATTATTACTTCTCTTACTAAACTACCAGCCATAGAGTCACACTAGTTTTCTACATAAACATGACTAACCCTTTTGTTGATTCATTTTTTATCCTTGTTACATTTAGTTAGTGTGTATTTATTGTTCCCTTTGTAATTGGCTGTACTATTTTGCATTTTGGTAATATTTGTATTGATTTACGTTCTAGAAACAAACCATGATTGTTTACTATATGCCTAGTTACCTATTCTGACTATAATCCTACTGGGATCCAATTTGCGACAATATAGAGGCTTATTCAGGAAATTTATTTGTATGCAAATCAAATCCTACACACCCTGAGCGGGGAATCGACACAAGCCCATCAACTCTTAATGAGTCTGAGAAGGCTATAGGTAATCTCACGCGGAGGAGGTCAGTAGACCATGATAGATTAACGCCGATCATTGAGGATAGTGGTCCAGTTTTAGATGTTAAACTGACTGAGATACTAACTGAAACTTGGAAACAGAACGTAATCCTATCTTACTAGTCTCGATTGTTGGTCGCCCCATCTCGCAAGAAAAGATAAAAATGTTATCGGAACAACCATCAAGGAATCAGTTTGACTAACACAATACGTAAAATATTAGCCTCAGTAAGCATCCAACGCCTAACCAAGACTAGAGAAAACCAGGCTGGTTTCAAACTTGGGCGTGGATTTATGGATCAAATATTCGCCCCTCGTTAAGTTCTGGAAAAGAGATATGCTTTTTGACGTCCAATCATAGTTGTATTCCTTAAACTTAAGGCAGCATTCGACTTAGCTGATCGAGTGGTTCTATGGCCATGTTTGTCATTAAGAAGAGTATCAAAGAAGTATATAAACCTTGTACAAGCTTTCTACTTGAACACTACTGACTGAGTTAGTGTTTATAGAAAACTGTTATCAAAATTGTTAACCTCAAGCGGGTTTTTTAGAAGTTGTTCACTTCGTCCACCTTTATCTAACTCAGTCATAGACATTCTTCAAGAATTAATGCTCTCATAGTCTGACTTTTCAGGAAGTGATCTACTACCGAGAGGTTCACTTACTGAATTAGGATACACAGATAGAAATAGTTCGATCTGGTGAAGACTCTGATGAAACGAAGTCTCCTAATTGCCTTGAGTAAGGATGCAAACACGTTTGAGATGCGATCCTATCTCTCTAAATGTAAATTGTTGCTTCAGGACTAGTCTGAGTCAACGCCCAAACTAATGATAGGGAGTGAAATAGTTGTGTTTGAGGCGGTTGTAATATGTGCTACGTATACCGAACCTAAATGTGGCATCAGTACATAAGATCACTGCCAATTGGACTGGGTCATAGAATTAAGTGTATACTATATGGTTGGGACCTGCCCAATTATTCTGATCAATGGTTTAAGATTTTGGTTGGCATGGCTCAGAATTGTCTGAAATGGCTTAAGTGCATTCACTCCGTCTTTCTTTAAGTCCCAAATCCTAAAGTCTCGTATACTTATATTTCTTTACATATCTGTTGTGGATGCGGAGGAATAAACCAATAATTATCATGTTAAGTCCAATGATGTCCTTGGACTTTAAATGGACATTTCCTATTGGTCGGTATCTGTTCACTTGTTGAATATTGTACAGAATGTTTTCTATTTTATGGTACGATGTGGCATGCTTGATTGGTATATAAACAAAGTATGTTTGAAATATAGTGATTCATATCTCAGAGGTTGGGACTTGTGTTCTGGACTCAACTGACTGGGCTAGACAGGGAAGCGAGACCAATAGAGACTCTAGGTCGTCCGTACGTGTTTACATGTCACTGTAATCGATCGATAAGTACGCTGCCCTCTAATTTTCCAGTCAAGGACACAACAATTAGCACAGGGTAAAAATCGACCCAACTTAAAGTCATAACAATATCTAATTTTCCCTACTAGTAATAGTATTACAACCCTCACTACTTTGAGATTTGTCTTGGTAATTTTATTACAAGGTACTGATATGGTGCAGTAACTTAAACCGATTTACATATGAACCAGGTCCTACGTTGCAAGTGACTGACTGACTTCAACGTTTTTCTTATATTCGACCCATAAACTAATTTCTCACTGAAAAGTACCAGCGAATTAGTGAGTTTTTTAAACATTATTATTGGTATACTGAATATCACCCAAGGCTTAACAAGTCACTTGCATGATCACTTGTTATCCAGTTGTACATTAAATTGATTATTGAAACGGCACCAATTAATGCGGACCCATAATAAGAGTTCATATGTTTATCAAAGGCTTTAATAGAATTAAAAAATGAAATTATCTCCAGTTACATAAAAGATGTACTAAATTATATAATAAAAGTGCGACATCAAAATTAATTAATATACCTATTATTGATTGTAAAGTGGTTGCTTTCACTGAATTTGCACTGAATACAGACTTTGAGCCAACAAGAGCCAATCCAAACACAGTGATCAGAATTCCAGTCCACTGAAAGTAACGCAAACGCCGCTTGAGAAAGATGACCTGGAGGAATAGAAGTAGTGAGGTGCAGCATAGAATTCACGTCTTTAACAATTTCAAACATGAGAAAAAAAGATAATTAGTACTTTTAAAAATATTGTTATGGATAAGCAACGATTACGGTATTTTACCTCTATCTCTCTAACAATAATAATGAGAATGTAACTAATTTACTAAGTACAAATTTGTGATCGACTTCAAGGTATATTGTTTGCCTATAGGTTAGTAGTACTAGCCCGTAGATGATGCGGGGTTCCAACTATAGAGTTGTTCGTCAAGGTCCAAGTGAGTTAACAATTAGCTTCTCTGTAAATAAAAACAGATTGGCTGAGATGGTCGGGTAAATGTATGTGTACTAGTTATGCCAAAGCACTTGGAAACTAAAACTAAATGATGTCTTATATGAAGATCCCCAGTAATAGGATTTTATGAACTATCATCAGATTAAACTTCAGACTTTAAAAATAATCGGCACTCGGTTTGACTCTTCAGCAACCGAATTTGACATTTTTTATAGTAAGAGTATTTTAATGAATTTAAAACAATTAGTTCCTTTGATAAATTTCGATAATGCAATGGGAAGACGAAGTTTATCAGAATTATGTGGTATATTTGAGCAATACATCTCGAACAATCTGACCACACATATACTTGTCAAGAACATGTATATATGAAAATTAAAGGCCAACTAGACAGGTTAAGAGAGAGTCATAACAAAGGAAAGAATATTAAAGTACACAAAAACAAATGTGATTACCGCTTTGGATAATAAATCAGTATATGAGATGCATGTTATAGAGCTTAAGTTGAAAAGTATCTTGTCACTCAATTATTAGTGGATTTCGCATCTAAAGTCGTACTTCGTATAGTATTTCGTTAATGACCGCAACTAAGAAAATTTATCAACCAGGGTTTATTTCAGTATGAATATCACGTATAAATAAAATAATATTTACAAACATTCCAAGACATGTGCACAGATGAAACAGCAATATTTGTCTGTTACGCAGTTGAAATATAGCTTAGTAGTCACAGATATGCGACGGGTTGTATAGTTTAAAACTGTTGCTTGTGAAGTTGTATATATTGTGTAGTAATAGTGAGGAGTATCATAAAACATAAGTAACGGGGATTTCGGTGAGGGAATTAACATCATGACATACCAGAATTTCACGCATAAAACAGCTAATGGAGTGGACTGTTTGGATGATACATAACAGCCACTGAAAAAGTAATTGCAACCATAAGAATATCAAATTTAGGAACTACGGTATGTTGTAACTTTATCAATCATTGCCTAAGTACACTGATAACTTGAACAAAACCAAAAACACACTGAAATTCAGCATAAGTAAAATTAATTTCAAGAACGAAACATACAGAAAGAATACCAGCAAATACGATAAGTGATCCTCGTAGCATTTGCCAGATAGACGCATCGATATACAGAAGACCAATACCTAACAGTAAGATAATTACAAGTGCATACCTGCTAATGTTGAACCCAATAGATCACAACATGTTGGCAGTATAAAAATCCAGTTGAAAACACTGTAAATGAACAGCCATTACATGATCAACTCACGGTGTGCTTACTACGTTTGGAACTCTTGATTCTATGAAACTAGCACCATGTAGTGTATTTCGTCTTTTTTTTCTGCACCTCATCGCCAGAAAAGCGATAATACAAAAAGCTTCCCCAAAGAACATAAGCAAAGTCTGAAACCATGGTTTATTAAAATAATGAGGTGAACGTGTGTTATTCGCAGTGTGATTGAAGTATCCACTAGCACTATTTAAATTATTAAATGTATTTCTGAAGAAACTTACATGCAGTCAAGCTGAACCTTTTGGAAATTGTGTTAATAGTCCCGGAAAAAAGCATCCCAAAGATCAAAACATACTGTTTCACGGAAAGGGCCATTGTAACGAACATCAAAAACAGGCCGCGTATACTGAAGGTCAGATCCGAGATAAAAACCTCAAAATTTGCTGGACACGATAGTGAATTATTCGCTGCTTAGGGTTTGGGTGTGATTGTAAAAGGTCGTTCGCGATCATAATCAGGTGTATTTCTCATTTGTTCTTTCAGAACCTAAATAGGAAACTCAGTTGATGATCTGAGAGTTTGAGCAAGAACGCCTACAATAATCTCCTCCATTACCACGTAATGTTCAGTCTTTGGTAGACTTGAATCTGACCTGAACGTATCTTTTGTGCTGGGGGATTGTTGGGAACTCTAAGCGAAATTATCTAGGGGAGAAAAGAAAGTCAACGACTCAATGAGCACACAGAACGCGCGTATATGTATTAACGAAAGCAATCAGCAACAATCAGAAATAAAGAAAGCATGAAATTAAGATAATCTGATTATCGTAACAAAAGGTCAATAATGTAGGTTTTGAAGTTGTTACAACCTAAGTAACAGAAGTAACGGCCGGGCTCCTCTAAATATTTCATAGCGAACCATCTCCGGCACGGGGGCATTGTTGTTAGTTAGGTTCTGCAGTTTAGGTTTACTTTTTAAACTTTTAGTAAGTTGAAGGTAAAGCCTTCTTCGGTTGTGTGTAATAGCTGGTATGTTTGTATATAACTTTTGCCAAGCGTTTATTGAAACCACCACTAATGCTAAGTGGATTACCGTAAGCTAGCGAACTGCAAACTACGGCAATGGACTGTGGAAGAAAAACTGAATAAAGAAATAAGGTTTTCGGATTGGAAATCAGTTGGCTTGATCTGATACTGGAGCCAATTTTCTCCTAGCTTCTTTGCGCATCAGGGCACGGACTGGCGGGTAAGCCACGGGTTTTCGCGCACACGTTACATATTGTCGTGGATTTTTTGTGTCGTTATTTATCAGCTATTAACAGGCTTTTTTGCATCACACATCTATTTCTGTATTGCTAGTGCTTGTAACATAGTTTTTATTCCAACTTATTAGCAGTTTGACGTATTTTTTGCTCACCACGTAAGTAAATCTGTAGTTAGCTTAATACAGTTATTTGTAACAATACAAACTCAAGCAAGTAAAGTTCACCGTGTTTCTAGTCAAAAAATACATCACAGATTGAGTTTTCATGAAAATGAGCCGTAAAATCTTTTACATATGGTTCACCTCCTTGATTGCGGTGACGGTGAACATGGATGTCGGTAGTTGTTTATAAAATGTAAGTAGAAGCAATCAAGCGTTAACCTAATTGTGAATATTATATAACTTGTTTGTATTTAGCCATAAAAATTTATATCCATTAGAGGTACCATTGTTTTGTACTGAAGTGACATAATTATGTAACGTATCTGAGAAAAATTATGTGAGTAACAATTGACGTTTATAGTGTTGTCCAGCGGCTTTCTGAACGTCTGCAGTAATAGTGTATAACACCACACCAAGTAGGAACAAAATCTTCATGAGTAAAACGATCGGTGTTTCTTTTGAGCATGGTGACACAACCATGTTTTTTAGTTAATACTGATTTGTGACGTGTCTGTTATAGGGTTCACAAATGAGTTATTATATACTCTTCACTCCGTTTCGGTAATACAGTTGTTGTGTTACTTAGGAAGTTATGAATGAATGTCACTACTTGTAAACAAAAGACTTATAGGCACAGTCTGTTACTTGCTATTTGAATAACTTATTGAATATGATACTGAGAACAAAGTTTAATTGTTTGTCTCAAAACGGATTTGTTGTTTTTCAGAATAGTATGAAGCTTATGGAATTTAGGATTACGGAAGATCGTGTGGAAAACCGGTTTACAAGTTTACGATAACTGTTTTATATTGCCTACTGCTATGTTCATTCATCTAATGAATTATTTAAATATAAATATAGCAACCATACGCAGTGTTTTACATTATAAATCCTGTAAGTTTGTATAATTATGGTTTAAATAAAGCCAAAACAAATATTGACGCAGAATCATGTGACTGCATTACATTTCGTGGTTTCTCACAAGTTGCATACAACTGAATATGCATTATAATTTAAGATTGAGGGAAGAAATAGTATGAAAGATAATAGAAAGCAAAGAATTGGAATGACCTAGGTTATCAATAATAACTATACATATGTATATGCTTGAACAGGTCAAAGGTCATTTGATGTTAGACTTAAGGGAACATAAAGGATGGGTGGTGTAATAGTCGAGTGAAGCTCAGAAGCATACAAGATAAATTGTGTGATAATTCTAGATGTAATGAATAAATCAGTGAATTAAGAACTAATAAGATAAGTGAAGACAATCTGAAGAGTTAACATAATTTAGCAAAGAAGTGTGAGTGGAAGGGTGGTCTAAGGATTACGTAATCCATCTTATCAGGGAACTAGCTGCATGAAATTGTCTAGTTCCATACTAATACTAACTTGATAATGGACGTAATCTGACAACGAAAAATATGTAAGGCGGTTGTTTAATCTGTAAGGTTTTACGTGGAAGTCGCATTGTTGTTTTATTTGACTCGTTGATTCATCACAATGAACAACGATATAACGCTAAATTCTAACGACAGTTCGTAACTAATACAGTAGTACAAATTCTTAATTTTCACACACAATTATTCGTTAAAGCGATTGGTAAACCTCCCCATGAAAGTATGAAGAAGACGAAAATAAAAAATGAGAAAAAGTTTATTGATTTTTCATGACTACTAAAGTGGAAAGATAAGTTTACAAGTTGTATAAATAGTGGTATAAAATAAAGCCACAAAGAACTGTTAATCGTAAACCTGCTGTCTAGCTGTTTATAATTCTTAAGTAAAAATTGTAGACTTTTCTCTCCACCTGATTCGCGAAGCGTTCACCATATTTCTCAACAATTTGTTGTTTGCACATTCTTTGGAGCCGTTGAAGTTGTATATATTCTTTACTCCGTCTCCGTAATGAAATTGCTGTGTTGTTTTGTAAGTTGTGCGTATTGTCTAATTTCCATCTGCAGCAACACCTAAGAAGTTGATGAGCTATGCAGTTTATATTTTATAATTTAAATAGCTTACCTGTTAGATTTCGTCTTTTAACATATGCCAGCAGGAGATGGCGGCACGGATATCGACACATATTAAACGTGCTACAATTGCATTGACAAATACTTACATCCACTTCGTAATGTTGTCCGCGGTCAACCATAAACAACCACTCGCCGCTTTCATATTCTAAGTTAACAAAACGCATTTTTTTAAGTTCGTATAACACCTTGGATCTTGCAAATGGAGTCAACATGTTAAGCAAGGGATAAGACGCTGTGGAGCATCATAATTGTATGTTCTTCCACTGATTATTTGGTCTTCAATGCTTTTTCTAGAGAATGTCATTGAACTCCACTTAAAAGCCTTGTACATGCATTTGTGCAAGCTGTCGCTTTTGCGTACATATCTTTTTATCTGCCTATTTAATGACTCAACACGATTATTCGTGTTGTTACCCAAAGTTAATACACTGCCGTAAAAGGCACGCGCCCACATTGTTTTACGTGGCATCCAGAAACGTGATAGGTACTGGCCTATCACTCTGTCTCTGCGGTTTATTATTCTGTAATATTGATTAAATCTAGTGAATAAATACATTAAAAAATTACCTTTCGACCGTTTCTGCGGTTACCAGTCGAGTCAAGTAGGTTTTTAGTATTTTATCATTTGTCTAAGAGAAATTTTATGTAACCAACCATTGGTGTACCTTTTTCCGGAAAGCGCGAATCACATGAAAGGCGCACAAAATGATGTTTGCATGCCCGTGTGTTATACGGACAGCCGCGCTTTCAGATCGTGCGCAATCCATCACAAATGTTTCTGTTTTGGTCGTGTTACCCATTATCTCCTTGAATTTATCCAAAATCCACGTAACATCAGCACGCTTTTCTTTTTGTGTCCATGCAAACATAACAGTTCGACCTCGACCCCAATTGTCTGTTACCACTAACTGGAATAATGAATACCTACATAGTAGAACAAAACGAAAATCATATTCACTTTTTATTATTAGTTTTATAAGTAGAATCAATACACACGACTTCGGGATATGGATTGTACAGCCGTATCTGATCATAACTGCTGAAGCATATCGCCGTAATACATCCATTTTCTGCATGCTCTCTAACTTCACCGTTTTGTCGCATCATCTGCAATACCTGCTTCCGAGTCCAACCTGAAATATATTTATATACACTTACCAGTGGAGAGTTCAGCTTTCATATTTTTGACATCAGCAGCGGTCACCTGCTTACCTGTTCTTTCCTTAATACTTTCGATAACTTCGTCCGTCGACTGACAGTGCAATATAACTGGTTTCAAGTTTTCTTTTTCTTCTGATGACAATCGTCTACTCAACGGATCACAAACCATCCACGAACTAGTACACGGATGGTTGTGAGACATGTTGTAAGATTTTATAACGTATTGTTGACCCTCCAATCTTACGCGAAACATCG